TGATGCGACAGGCAATATAAAAAAAATATTGCATCAAGTTCGAAAGGGATATTCGTGTACTCAGTAGTAGCTCAATCAAAACGGATATGCAATGAAAGGAATATGCAGGAATTGCTTTGCGCGAATCGTTTTCGAGCAGCCGCTCCAGTGATATTCCAAGATTTTTATTCTACGTAAAAACGTTTTTTTACAAAATATGATACGTTGGCGTATTTGTCGACGAATCACAAGTGACTGGAGTTTGGCTACGATAAATGCAATATTGCCGATACTTTGCAATATGAATACTGTAACAACTTAGGTTAACACATGCTACAAACTGCTAAGAAGAGCTACACGCCTTTTGTTCTAATACAGTTATGTCCGTAGACATATTTATAAAACAGCCAATGCTACCCGCAATGCATTGTTTCGAAATAAAACAATTCTTTCAAAGGATTAGGAACCTTTTACCCACACTCGCTAGTAAATTGGAAGATAAGATCACGGAACGCCATCTAAGGTTGTTGCAAACGAACCTTCCATTGGACTATAGTGAGGAAATCTAAAAATCTTTTAATTGCAATGTCAATAAGAGGAATCGTAATAATTTTCAAGTGGAACAGTCAATGTTTTCTAAAAGTTATTCTTTTAAGAAAGGGAGAAGAATGTACATCCCTATAAAAAACAAAGTAGATAACAGTTCCTCAAAAAAAAATTAAAACAAACGGGTTTTATAATCCAAAAATTCATAGGTATGCTACTAAAAAATACGTTGCTTACGCTCCCTTGTGGACAAATATAACAGGTGTACTTATAAATAGTGAAAATGCGCTTCAAATAATTTTCACATCAACGAAAAGTTAAAACAAGTCTTGTTTCATTGCAAAATAACTATCATAAATTATATAAACAAAGCTTCCAACACGTTTACTTACGTTGATCCCGTAGGAAACGAAAAAGCAACTTTGTAGCAGTTACTTCAAAAGTTTAAAGCCATACAGGATAATACTAAGGTGTGGATAGCGGAAACAGAAGTGAATGATTTGCAATATATAAAAAAAGACAATTCGAATTGCGGAGCATCCGTTTGCCAGTTTGTGGAATTTGAAAAATTGCAAAACATGAACCCTTAATACACTTAACGCCTTCGTATGATTGTAGAAAATGGATGAAGCAAAACATTTTGCAATGAGTGAGATTCTGACTTATAACTGTCTTCACTGCTGTACATTTAACGAAATGGAAAAGCAGTGTAGCAAATGTTATCGAATGTACAATGTGTCGTAAATCACTACAAGGAGTGAAAAGACTTTTGTTTGTGTTATGCAATAATTAGTTGAAACGTCTTTTCGTTATTCATTTCATGATATTGATATGAATGGCGCCCGAGCATTTGTGAAAACGCGAGTGAAGTTTTCAGTGGGGGAAGAAAACCGAAAGAACAATCAACACCATCATTGAACAAAAATAAAGACTGTCATAAAAAAGCAAAAAAAAAAAAAATAATAAATAAGCAAAACGGCAATAAACAAACAAAATAAAATATCCAGAAAAGAAAACAAGAACACAACAAGCAACGTGCTCGTGAACAATAAAATAGCAAAAAAAAGCAAAGAAGTGTTCAATTTTGACTTTACGAAAAAAAACAGAAAACGGATAAACTGGGAGTGAAATTAAAATATCTAAAATTGAACACGCAACAACAAAGATAGGCATTTGCGATCCCATAAAAACCTAAATTACCGCAAGGTGCTCGATTGAAAACCTGTTCGCAAAATAGATAAGAGAAATGATGAGGCGAATTGGCATTCACAACCCCGGTGAAGTTGTAAGTCGGGTTTGACACGACCCAACGCCCTTTGTAATAGTACAGAGTAGGACAAGATTGAAGAGCGCGGAGATAATTACTAGAAAAACGCAAGCCAACGTGTGCGAACCGAAAAGTGCAAGTAGTGTAAAACAAATAAAAGAGAAAAAAGATCCAAATTAAACGGAAAAAAATTAAATTTAAATTAACATGTTTTAAAAACAAAAAGAAAAAAAGGACAATATCTCAAAAAATTGGAAATAATTCAGGGACTTTATCAATCTAAACAAGAATATATCAAACGAGTGAAATAAAAGGAATTTGCTTGGAGCATCAGTTCTGTTAAGCGTGAGTTTAAAAAAAAAAAGAAAAAAAAAACAAGGAAAAGCCAAAGGCCATCAAAGAACAACGATAAAGTAGCTAAAAATTAAAGAACAGAAAAATCCAAATATATAAAGTGTCTCAAAAAAAAGTAATTTTCCTATCCACATCACAAAACCAAACAAAAAAAAGGAGAGAATCCAGTCCATCACATTTGGATAACCTGTAAAGTAAGTACAAGCAAAGAAAACAACAAAAAAAAAGAAAAAATTCAGACGAACAAAGGACAAATGAAAGTCAATTAAAAAACACAAAAGTTTGTGAAGAAAATTATCCACGAACACACACAAAAATTTCATAAGATAAGAGAGAAAGCAAAGAACTCCTGACCCAAAAAAGAAAATAAGAGAAACAACAAGAGAAAGGTCGATTGTGGTTGATGTGAAGAAAAAAAAAAGGGAGTGTAGATTAGAGAGAGAAAAAAACACTAGAAAACCAAAAAAAAAAAAAAGTTTTTAAAAAAGAAAAAATAATAAAGAACACAACTATGCATAAGCTGAAAACTTCGAAAAAAAAACAACAAAGAGATTGGCAAAGACAAATCAATGCCAAAGGCAACCAACAAAAAAAAATTTTTTAACGAAAAACAAGCCAAGGTTAAATAAAACTACCAAAAAAAAAAAAGTTATCGTGAAGAAGAAGAAAAAGATTTCATCAAAAGTTCACAATCGAAAGATGTAAAGTAACAAATAAATACTAAGTTTCTTGAAAAGAAATAAAATTTAAATAAACGAGGGACTCAGTGCCGTGATTTTACATTTGCAAATGAAAAGAATAAAGTCGAGTTCATTTGCAATAGAATTAACGGAAAGACGCTGGGAGAGCACTTAGCCAATCTCCGAGAAGTGTTCCGCCGCCTAAGAGCCGCCAATTAACGAGTCAACGTGGAGAAATGCGAGTTTATTGAGAGGAAGCTGAAATACCTGGGCCACCTGATTACTGAACAGGGTATTCAAACAGACCCCGAGAAAACTGCCGCTATCAGTGAGATGCCGATACCCACGAACACGCCGTGTGGGACCAATGGTTGCCGGAAATCGCCCTAGCTATGAACACATTGATTTTAGATTCCACCGGTTACCCCTGGCAAACATTATTCAAGGGCGCCCACTCAGACTGCCACTTGCTTTTTACGACCCAGGCCGCGCGGGCGAGCCGATCCAGCCCCAGTCACCACGCCACCGAGCCCAGATCCTGAAGGAAGTTATCTACAGCGTATGTCGCAATTTCGAGCTTTCATCATCCGACAGTGAAGGTACTTCAACTCTCATCGCCGCCATTAGCAACCCCGAGTCAGAGATTCGGAAATAATCCGCCATCACCCCCTTTCCAAAGCGGCCAACCATTTCGCCGCCATGTTGGCACCTCGATTTCAAGGGTTCTATATCGTGGTGCGATACGCACCCCTAAACATCATCCAAGGCGAGGACACCACTACACGGGCGCTAAGGCGCGTCTATTTGAAAAACGCCAAGCCCGTTATCGAACCTGGAGCTACCCGTTCCAAGCGGAGGGGCCGCCCATCACCTCCATAGACAATCATAACAGCACCATCAAGGCAACTACAGTCGATCCAACAAAAAAAAAAGAAGAAAGATAACATAACCCCATCCACAGCCAACTACCACGGTAACATCGCGACCGTCACCGTCGGTGGATCCGGAGCCGTCGACGACAGCAACCAACTTCTACATAAACACCAACGCCATTACAGCCGCACCAAAATCACCAACAGTATCAACCTGCACCAACGCAACACCTACGACAGCAACTATCATAACCGCAACATCATTAGCGTTAATCTCAACGATTACCACAACAACGGCAAAAGGTGGCTATCGCCGTTAGCACCGAATAGTCGCAGATGCCACTGCCGCAATAACCTCAACGAAAGTTTAACACAACGATATCCCTAAAACCAACACATCGGTAATCCCGGCCACAACGACTCTCATATCAATCACCAACGATAACCAGGCAACCGCCGCCGTCAATGACTTAGAAAACCGCTGTTACCTCCACAGCAGCAATAACAACTACAACGAACTGACCATTATTTGCATCAACAACAACAACGGGTTAGGTGGCTCTCGCCGTTAACAGAAAACGGTTAACGAGGCCACTGCCGCATCAATACAGCCTAGAAATTCACCACAACAACCAAGGTCACCCACAGCCAAGGGTCTGTCAACCAAATGTGCGCCCATAGTGGCCAACGTTGGCACAACCCGTACCTCCCTGGCCAATGGTCCGGCGATTCAATACCAGAAAGCCAAGAGTACACAAGAGCTGACGGAACCAACGGCCAACGATCCGACACCCCGATAATGTACTCCGCGCCATCGAAATGATAGCACCATGCTCCGCCCCGGCAACAGGCTCTGGCCATACCATGAGCATCACAATTTCCTCAACGTTGCACAATCAGCAACGGAATCGCAACGATAGTCAAGGGACCGTCAACCAAGCGCGCGCCCATAGCAGCCAAAAATTGACGCAACTCGGACCTCCTTGGCAGCGGTCCGGCATCTCGACGCCGAAAAGCCAGGGGTACAAGAGTGCTGAAGGGGTCAATGACCAACGGCGACACCGAAATCGACACCAAACAGCCACACCGGAAAGGCGCAGCCACAGTCACTTCTTTCCCCCGAAGAACGGAGGATCTGTGAGAACCCAAAGTCGTCCCTCGTATTGGCCTCACGGGTTCTCCGTCTCTGGTGAGGGGAAGGCAGTGCTAGGGTTAAGTTAGGAATAGGGTAGGTTAAGGTAGTAGTAAGAATAGAATAGTCATAGGGGTAGGTTAAGATAGAAGTAACATAGAATAGAATAGATTCAGACAGAAACAGGAATAGAGTAGGATAGATTAAGGTAGCAGTAGGAATAGACTAAGATAGCGATAGGGATAGGTTAAGATACAGATAAGGATAGGTTAGGGGTAGGGTAATAAAAATAGGTTAAGTTAGTCAGCGTTTGACTCTCGAACAGAGAGGAGGTTAGTGTAGCTCTAGGGAGTCATTATTAGAGAGTCGAGTTTGAGTCTTAGTCGTGGTACACGGAATAAAACTTAAATCGAAAAAGCGAACAATAATGATCTCTGGAACAAATAAATGTTCTTGTGTTTCCTTCCCTGGGCCGTTGAGCTGCCCCAGCCGTAGGAAAAGGGACGAAACGTCCTCACAATACATAGAAGATAAAAAACCATTTAATATTTGCAAGCGCAATGAAAGCCTTACACTCGTTTACGCACAAATCCAAGCATGAGTGCAAAGCAATGAGCAATAAGAGAGAAACATTTCGGAAGTCCCAACAATGATCGTGAGAATTGTATAGCAGCAAATAGGTAGATTTAAGTAGATGAATTTGATCGATTTTGAATGGATTTAACAACATAAAGTATGCCTGCCGACTATTTATTATTACATGTGAGGTTTTCTAACAAAGTTGATGTCCTTGTCTAATTTATCGAAAAAGGCAATAGTGTCAACAACGGCAATAATAGTTAATGTACGTTATTTCGTTTTTAACATATAATTTTTCAAAATTAAGAGAACAAAAAACAAGAAAAAAAAGGAAAAAAAAAAGGTATAAAATAATAGTAACCAATCCTGTTTACTGTTGGTGGAATGTAAGTATTGTTATAGCAAGCATAATCAAACGGACGGGCATTCGTTCGTCTCTGTCATTTTTGTCAGCCTGACCGTTGCTCCGTTTGACCGTCATTTCCAGATCACGTTACTAACGTTATTAATACTTGCCAGGAATTGCTGTTATAATGTCGACTGTGTTTTCTTATTACATCCATTACAATTATTTTCATTAGACAGCGCTCAAAATATTATACATAAATTAGTAGAAAGTGCTGCAAACGATGCAATTTCCTAAATAAACAAGCAAAAAACAATTCAATATTTGCAACAGCAATAAATCGCTGTGCCACATTCGTTTACGAACCAATCAACATATGAGTACAATGCAGTGAGCAATGAGAGAGAAACATTTCTAAAGTCTTAACATTGATTGTGGGCCTCATTTCTACAGTAGCTTATGTTATGAAAAGAAATTTTCAAAGTACTATTAAAAGTTCCTCACAAATTACTTTCATGATATTTGTATACCCATCACTGAAGAATGAGTGGTATATTAAAACGTTTGCAACGCCCAGAAGAAAGCATCAGAGACCACACAACATATACGTTCTCTTAATCGCAATAAAATTCTCAATTGATTAAGCCATATCCGTCCATCTGTCCGCCCCTATAATGTCTATTGTGAACAATCTCCTGGCCCCAAAAATGAAGCAGAAATATTAGAAGTTCTTGCCCGAAAGTTAGTACTCAAAATGAGCCAAATCGGTTGGATGGCACGTAAACAGAACCAGGTATAATAGCCCTGAGATTTAACCCTATTTTTCAAAAGGAATAAAGATTAGTATCTTGGTCACTACTTATACACTATTGCAGGTAAATGTATAAAAATTTGAACGCATGTTTTATGGGCGATGGCGTGGTACTCATACAAAAATGTCATGTTAAGTAAGGCAATATTCAAAAATTCTCTGAGGAAATCTTAATATAACCTACACATAGCTAGAAAAGGCTATTAATCTAGGATTTATGTCGTACTAGTTTCATTTTTTCAAAGGGCATGGTTTGCCCACAGTAGCTAAGCAAACTTTCGCTTCATCAATCTCATATATGGCATGGTATAAAAATGTTTTGCTTTCCAATATTAATTAATTTATGTAAAGTCATGTTTTGTGTATAATATTTTGTAAAAAATTCTCGATAAGTTCGATTCTAACTATATTTTGACTTAAATCCCTCCTAAGCTTCGTTGAACAGAATTCTTTTAACGCCTTAACAAAGCTTTGTACATAATTTTTGGTTTGCGTCCTTGCTATTTACATTTAAATATAACTTTGCATCCTTCTAAAGCGTGATGCATGGTTGTGTTGATTGTCTAATAAGAAACAAGTAGAAAAACCCAGCCGGCAACAAGAATCATAAACAGTATTAAACTTGATAACGAAAGATTTCGCAACATTTTTCCCACCATTTCCAACTGCCTTTACTAGCATCTGTACTTTATCTCTAAACTTCAATGGAGTTTCACCCCAGCTACCATAAAAACTTGTAACGGCCGCGAACAAACCTTGGGTAGGGTGTCTGTCGGTCTGTGTCAACCGCAAGCGGCGCAATAACGGCATGCCGTTAGACAAAATCATGCGATTTTGTGGTACCGCAAGTAAATCGCATGATCTTGCGGTATATGTGTTTATTTTTTTTTTCTTTTTTGATCTCCTTACTTACAAGTACAGGCAAAATCGTATGATTTTGCGGTACCTTTGCTTGCTTTTGCAAGTACAGGCGGAATCGTATGATTTTGCGGTACTCCTTTTTTTTCCTTTTGCTCTTACAAGCATAGGCAAAATCGTATGATTTTGCGGGATCTATGCTTGCTCTTGTGAGAGTAGCGGCAAGCTGTTATAGAGAGAGCAACAGGAAGAAGAAGAGGGAAATGAAGTAAAAAGGAGAAGTCTGTCTGCGTTTCAAAAATTGAAGTGAGAGGGGATAGTTCTGAGTTGAAGTCAGTCTGAGGCAGGCTCTCACTGAGTGCGGTTCTTGTTATTTACAGCAGTTCTGTTAACATTTCACATGGTGCTTACCTTTTATTGTTGTGTGTTTAAGTGGTAACAACAAAATGGTATAGAAAGAAATATGCTTTTGATAATTTAAAAAAAGAAAAAAAAGGAAAAAGGAGGAATATAAAGGAAAATTCTAGAACAGTCTTTTGTTCCTAAAACGAGGAAGGAGAATAATCAAGAGGACAGTTCTGTTAACATTTCACATGGTGCTTACCTTTTATTGTTGTGTGTTTAAGTGGTAACAACAAAATGATATGGAAAGAAATATGCTTTTAATAACTTGGAAAAAAAAAAGGAGGAATATAAAGGAGATGTCGCAAGATTGTGTCTTGCACATCGGAATAGTTTATCTAATTTAACTATTAAAAATTAAAAAGAAGATCGAAGTAAACTTTGATTTAATTTATTATAAAAGAGATGTAAAAATTAATATGAGTATTAAAAATTTACCAAGAAGATCGAAGTAAACTTTGATTTAATTTATTATAAAAGAGATGTCGCAAGATTGTGTCTTGCATATCGGAATAGTTTATCTAATTTAACTATTAAAAATTAAAAAGAAGATCGAAGTAAACTTTGATTTAATTTATTATAAAAGAGATGTGAAAATTAATATGAGTATTAAAAATTAACAAGAAGATCGAAATAAACTTTGATTTAATTTGTTGTAAAAGAGATGGGAAAATTAATATGAAATGACAATCGGTCTGCGTGGTGAGTTGGTTACTGCCATTTAGCCAACACGAAAGAAGAACTTTGTCACCTAATTCAACTACTTGTACGGAGATCCTACGATTGTGAAACTCTGCGGTGAAGGGTGGAAAAGGCTTATTGGAAGGAGGAACCCAGAGTGCCGATGTAGCAGCTACCGCGGCCGACCCTGCACCGACGCCTGTACAGTAAGTTAGTTAAGTTTATTTAATTTTTTTTTTGTTTGTTTCCCCAATGCGTGGCTAAGCGCGCGCTGCCACCGCTGTGGCCGGAAAAAGGCGAGGGTGTGCATATGATGGCACGTTAGGGAAGACTCCAGACGGTGACAGACGGACTTACGGTGGACAGACGGACGCTAGACAACTGACGCGACGTTTCCTTGAATTGTGCATTTTTTTTTTCATTTTTTTTTTCTTTGTCTAAAAAAAAATTTTAAATCCTCAGCGGCGAGGAAAGAAAAAGAGTTTCATGACAAACTTCTGGAATAATCAGCACAGACACATCCTTTATACCGGATGTGTTGAAGAACAAAAACAAAAACACAGAAATGATAACAACAAATGTGGCCCTACAAATAGGTACGGTATATTATCTTTCAGGTTATTAGAATCTACACTCCGTTTAAAATTTTTCCACACATTTCACACATTGCAAACGCTTGCACTTATCCTTATTGTTTTGCAAGTCAAATTATAATTTTCTTGGAACCAATTTTTCTTCTCTAACGACGGATTCGTCAATTAACTGACAAATTCGTACATTGGGTACGTTTATGTGATGGTCATATAATATTAGTAGACCATTTATAACTGATCAACGGGCCATTCACCATAAAACGATGATCATAGTTTCCTAAAATTCTTACCAGAAACGTTTAGTAGACATGCAAAATGTCGCTTTAATGCTATGTGTTCCTGATGAATATCACTTTTCGCGTATAAATATTTAATTAGACCACTCTCAGGGTTCATTG